TAATATTGGGTGTTTTTTAAAAAATGTATTGAATTCTTGTGTATCTTATACATACACAACATCTTAATCATCTTTAGACCCCCTTTCCCATTGACACCCTCCCATAGCTCCCCCACTGGATTTCATGCATTCTGTCATTTATATTAAGGCCTGTCAAGTCAAGTTAGTATCCACTGAAGTCCTTCAGTGTAACTTTCATCCACTGGCATCTAGTCAGCCTATCTAGAATCACTCCCTTTAAGGATCTCTTCTTTTTTTCAAATTGAATTTTAGTGAAATATATGCAATATATTTTGATCATTTAGACTCCCCCCCCATATCTTTCTTATAGATCCCCCACCGAATTTCATGTACTCTGTCACATATGTTAAGGCCTATCAAACCAAGTTTGTGTTCTTTTGTGTCCTCAAATGTCCTTCGGCATTTGTTCATCCACTGGAGCTTGGTTGACCTACCTAGTATGACACCCTTAAAGGAAACCAACTCTCCCTCTGCTAGTAGTTATTGGTTGTCAAAAGTTCCTCAGCTAAGGTTGAGGCTTCTTACCCACTTCTAAGCTGGGATTTTTTTCTGGCTTGAGCTTGCATGGGTCTTGTGCATGCTATTACCATTGCTGTAAGTTCATATGAGTAACTTCCCAGCTCTCTGGAAAACTCTTTCCGTGTGGTCATCAACCACCTCTTGCTTTTATAGTCTTCTCACCCCCTCTTCCTCAATGGTCCCTGAGCTTTGGGAGACAGAGCATTGATGAGGTGTCCTATTCAGGAATAAGTTCTCTGCAAATCTGTATCTTATTCCTGTTTACATTTCTTTCATTAAAATAGATCTGTGAGAAGAAGCTCAATTATAACCTTCTATTTTTGGAAGGCTGAGTTCCTTGGATAAGGCACTTAGGAGCCATCATCAGGAGCCAGGTCTCCTAAAAGGATATAGGGCTCATGAGCTATACAAGGAAGAGCCTGGCTTCGCTATTCTGAGAACACCATCCTCTGTCTCCTACTCAGGAAAATGCCAACAGTGCCCTCAGTCTCCTCCATCCTGTCCTCTCATCTCCCAGCACTGGTCTGAGTCTGGTAACATCAGCTTTGCAGCATCTACAGTCCTGGCCTCCCTGGGGATCCTAGCACTTCCCTTAAGACATTTATGAGGCCGAAGTGAAATTCTTAAAGCCATTCAGCAATTTTTGTCTCATTAAGTTTAGTTTATTTTCTTAAATATTAACACATTCACTAGACTTTTACAATTATACACTTTATTTTTTGATTAATCTCTTCTAAAAGTATTTCTCTTATTTTTAAAGCCATTTTATTTTTATAGGATTGACATAACGGTAATGTATCTGTTTAATATATGCATCTTGATAATTTTGCCATAATCTATGATCCCATAAAGGAATGAAGATAAGACTAAATATACACACATCACTTTCCATTTCTTTCTGCCCCCTTTATTCTTCTTCTTTTCTTCATATTCATGGTAAGAACATTTAGTATCAAAATATCCAATTAACAGATTTTAAGTATGCAATACTATATTGTTATTGATAAATACTATGTTGCATAATGAATTACCAGAACTTATGCATCTCGTAGAAATTTGATCCAATTAACAGATATTAAGTATGCAATACTATATTGTTATTGATACTATGTTGCATAATGAATTACCAGAACTTATGCATCTCGTAGAAATTTGTCCTCTTTAAGACCATATTCTTATTCATCAGTTTCTCAGCTCCCCAAAACTATGATTTTGCTCTTTGCTCCTTTCAGCTTTACTATTTTAGAGTGATATATAAGGGATATCATAATCTTTGTTCTCTGGACCTGGTTTACTTCTTAAAATGTACTTCCTACTAGATCTGTCCATGTGGTCACAAACATATTTCTCATTCATTTCAAGGTTGAATAAATATTTCAATTCATGTATATATTTCTATCCATTGACTGAAATTAAGATTAATTCCAAATTTTGGTTAATTTCAAAACTGTTCCAATGGACATAGATGTGCAAACATCATTTTGATACTTTGGGTTCAGTTGTTTGGTATGTGTACCCAGAAACAAGAATATTAAAGCAGAGAGGTTTTGCACTTAATTTTTAAGTGTGTTTATACCTATAATTGTGTATATGTAACATCTTTATCAGTTTAGATAACTAACAATATTGTATAAGGGTTTGCCTTCACATGCAAACTGAAATAGGCATATGCATTGTTTACGTATGTATACACATATGCATACACAGATATTATTATAATTGCTACCTGAACAAGTTTGAGGTGATATTTCATTTTGATTTATATTTCTCTTATTTGTTCTTGATGATTTTTGTTTTGGACTTTTTTTGTTTTTGTTTTTGTTTTTGTTTTTTTCTGATACAGGGTCTACCTAGTAGCCCCAGCTAACCTGGAAGTTCCTATGTGGACCATGCTAGGCCTTTTCACACAGAGCTCCACCTACACATGCCTCCTTGGTGCTGGAATTAAAGGCATGTGCTACCACACCAGGCATTTTAGATTACCTTTTTTATGATTAGTACTATCAAGCATCTTATAATATAACTCTTAGCTATTTTATGTATTTAAATCTGTGTTCAGGTTATTTGACCGTTTTCTTATCAATTTTTTACTTCTTTAACTGAAAAGATTCTCATATTATTTTAATATTAAACTCTTATCAGATATATTTCTTGCTTAATATACTTTGCCTAATTAGGGTACTTTGTGATTGAATATAAATTTCAGCTATATTTCTATGCACGTGAAAGCAATAGCGTAGCTTTCTTTGACTATACGTCATTGCATGTGTCTACTTAGATGATGTATACTTTAAGATCTTTGAATTTTTTCAACATATGTTTTTATTGAATTATTGTGCATTTCATACATCTTAATCACATTTAGAACTCCTCCTCTACCTGCAACTCTTCACAGCCTCTGGATTTCATACATTCTGTCATTTATGTTAAGTTTGTGTCCCCAGATGTCCCTTGAGGAGAGTGAGTTCATCCCTTGGAGCCTGTTCAGCCTATCTAGCATCATTCCCTTAAAGAAGACAACTTTCTTTCACTCAGCAGTGATCAGCTGCCAGTAGTTCCTGAGATAAGGTTGGGACCTCCCGCCCATTTCACCAGTCCTATGCTGGGTTTTTGTTTGGTTTGAGTTTGCATGGGTCTTGTGAATGCTGTCACCGTTGCTATAAGTTCGTATGAAGTTCCCAGAAGCCTGGGAATCTCTGTTCCTTTTGGTCATACCTACCTCTGGCTCTTACAATCTTGCCACCCTCTCTTCTGCGATAGTCTTGATCCCTGGGAGGGTGAGTTTTAATACAGGAGTCCTATCCTGGGACACTCACTCTGTAGTCTCTTATTCTCTACATTTTGGTCAGCTGTGGCTTTCTGTGTTAATCACCCTCTCTTGCATGAGAAAACGTCACTGGTAAGACTTGAGATACATTAGTGTTCTCTGTTCCTCTAAGTTCCATGAACCTTAGGTATAGAGGTTCCATTGTAGCTGCATCACTTAGGGCTGGGCATTCATAAATTTTTAAAAGAGCTGTTATTATGTGGGAAGACATAGAAAAACAAATTAGTAAACTATATGGTATGTCTTATCATTGTCATAGTTAAGGTAAAAATAGGGATAGAATTAGCCAATAATTTAAATATAAAAAGTAGGTCACAAGGGAGGCTTGAGCTCTGGAGGTGGGAAGCCTTATGGAAGAGTTTCCAGTCAGAGGGAAGAGAGCTGCAAATGCCTGCTGCAAGAGGCCAGTGTTTTTAGTGATAGAGAGGAGCAGGATTGAGACTACAGAGGTGGTAGAGATGGGAAGGAAATGGTCATGGAGATGCTCGAATTGTGATTCAGTACACAACAGGAAGGGATAACAAAGCTCTCTACAGAGTAGTGACATGGTGAGTTTACAAATATTCGACAACCATGGAAAGAAGATGCAGAAGATAGTCAGAGACCACCTAGGAGGCTACTCAGTGGAGGTAGCACTAGCAAAGGATCCTGGTAGATTATGCCAGGGCTGAAGCAAGGAGGTAGTGAAGGAATAGCTGACAGGAGGTGATGATGGGCATTGTTTAAGATACAAGAAAAAGAGAAGAGGGAAGACGCTTTGGACTCTGGACTCAAGGAGGTAGTGCATGTGGTCTCACAGTGTCCTTCAGCATTTGCTGAGTGGACAGTGCCCATGACTGTAGTTCTCATGGGTGGCAATGTCAGTGTTCCCAATGAATGCTCCCCAACTTGCACCTTTAATGTCTCTTTTCTGATCCTGCTGTCCCTCCTCATACTACATTTCCCCCATGTCATGTCACATGATGCCACAGACCCACTCTGTTCAACACAAGGTAGAACACATAAAAGCCTGATGTTGCTTCTAAGACAAATCCCCTTGCTTCCTCTGTTAATCCACTTTCTGCTTCTGTAATAAATGCCGAGGTAGGCAACAGGCTAAGATAAAGATGTTTATTTGGTGGATAGTTTTGAGTCTTCTTTCCATGATAAGTTTTCTGTGTTTTGAGGGGCAGTAGTGGAATATCATTGGGATCTTGTGGAGAAACCAAAGAGGGAAGTGGCAAAGGACCAGGGGCCCCACTCTGTGCTTCAAGTGCACACTCTGTGACTGAACTCCTATTTCACCACCTCCCATTGGCTGCACAGGTAGAGACCAAATCTACAACACATGGACCTTTAAGGGCATTTAAAATTCAAATTACAGCACTTCCATTGAGTTATGTCTTCAAGCAAACCTAGGTGTAGGAATGTGCTGACACTGTACTAGTTGCTCCGCTGTGTCACTCCATCCTTCTGGAAAGCTGTTCCACATCATTCATTTCTTCAAACTAGAGCTTGGACAGCCCTGAATTAGTCCAAAAGGGCGGGGGGAGATTCGTCCATTTTCAGGTGAGGCCATCCTGGGGAGTAGTCATGTGATACCTGTGGTGTGTGATGAAACTGTGGAAAATATTGTGAAGTACCTAAAGTTGTGAATTCTCATATTTAGCATTCATAACAACAATGAGTGTTAAAAATAATAGTGACCTACGACATTTGGTACAACAGAAGAAATTACTTCCGCAATGATTGGGGAAATAGTAAGCCCTGCTCATTGGTATTTTATTACAAGTAGATCCTACATATACTAATTTTTGTAAGAAATCTATGCTATATAAACTATCTTTAAACTGGAACCCACATATAATATAAGGGTGATGGCAATGTTGTGACCAGAGGTTCCCAGGAAACTAGCCCTGAAATTCTACTGCAATGATTCAAGATTCCCTAACTCAGCATTCATGGCGAGTTTACAGACATCGCTAAAAAGAATAGTGTTCTAGTTTGTTTCCAATTGCTGTAACAAAACATTCTGACCAATACCAACTTGGGGAGTAAAGGGTTTATTTGGCTTGCTTTTCCCAGGTCACAGTTCATCAGGGAGCCCAAGGTAGGAAACTGCAGGCAGGAGCTGAAGCACAGGCCATGGAGGAATACTGCTTACTGGCTTGCTCCCCGACCCATGCTGAATCTGCTTTCTTATACAATACAGAACAACCTGCCCAGGGTGGCACCACCCACAGTGGACTGGGCCCTCCCCATCACTCAAAAATCAAGAAAATACCCCACAGATATGGCCACAGGCCATTCCAATGGAAGAAATTCTACGACTGAGGCTCCCTCTACCCAGGTGTGTCAAGTTGACAACTAAAGCTATCTAGCATATGTAGTGAGAATTCATTCCAAATATTGCAATTGAACATATATGTATTACAATTTGAAATATGTGTTGTATATGATTCATGTTCCATTTAGGGGTTTCCCTCCCCAACTTCTCTATTGCTACCATTAAAAAAATAAGGCCTTTGTAGTTCACAGATCGTCAGCTCCCTTCTTAGAACCCTGAGATGCAATGGCCACTGCCCACAGTCACAATGTCGATTTTCTGGCTGCTCCATTACACAGACAGAGGATGCAGGTGTTTCCTCACACTGTGCTGCTCTTTCCCTAGATCCATGCCTTTGTGCCAACTGTGATTGATGGAATGTTCCTGCCAAAGTCACCAGAAGAGATTCTGGCTGAAAAGAACTTCAACACTGTCCCCTACATCGTGGGAATCAACAAACAAGAGTTTGGCTGGATTCTGCCAACAGTGAGCATAAAGAGACATGCTCCCCCATTGATCACCTATCATGCCCCCAACCTATGCTTCCATGAGTTCATTCTTTTAGCCCTACTTTTATTCATTATAGCCATCCCCATTTTATGAGTGGATACTTTAGTGGAGGAAGCATTCTCTGGAATGGCCCAACTGAGAAGTACAGGCTTGAGAACTCCACTAGCCACAATACCCTTTGTCTTTCCTTAATGAATGCTGTAATTCCTAACCTGGGAGGGTCTGTTGGGGTAATTGTACAGATGAAGTAAACAAGGGTATCTAGAAAGGGGGAGGACCTGGGAGTTCAGAAGGGTCAGGATGCAGCACAGAAGTGTCTACCTTAGACCGGGACTCACAGGTTCCACAGCTCTCCACAGGTATTCCCAGAGGCACCATTGCTTATATTCAGAAAAAGTTGATTCTGATTGAGTTAGCATTGGTTTCTAAAAGGAAAGAAGGTGTTTTCCTCTATAATTTACAAAAACTCACTGATTCAAACAATAAGGCATGTTTTATTCGGTAACAGAATGGCAATAAGGAAAAGATCAAATGAACTCAGACCCTTAACAGAAGGTGGGAGATGTTTCCAGGCTGGTGAGAACTCTAATAGGCACAGTGGTGTGAAGGTGGTGAGTCCACATGCCTACAAGCTGAGAGAGAAAGAGACCTCTCTTCATGACAGGAAGCAGAGGTCCAAATTGAAGTAGCATCCTTAATGAAGTTAGGCCTCAATCCTTCCCTAAGAACTGGAAGAAAGATAAAAAGTTATTTTCCTAAATATATATATTCCAAATAGGAGGACATAATATGTTAAAATTTACCTTCAGGTTATCCAGTTAAAAGTTTTACTTAGAAGTTTTGCATCACAAAAATCAAAGAAATGATTGTTATTTTTAAGTTTTGTGTGGAATTGCATTAATAGATACTTCAGGGCTAGTCTTTCCTTCAGTGAGTTTCTTCTGTATTAAAGAATAATTTCATGGGATAGGAGGGATGGCTCTGTGCTTAAGTGTACTGGCTGCTCTTACAGAGGACCTGGGTTCAGTTCCCAGCACCCACATGGCAGCTAACAACAGTTCATAACTCCAGTTCTAAGGGATCCAAAGCCCTTTTTTTGGCCTCTGTGAGCATTGTACAACATGGGTGCACTTACATACATGCAGGAAATACATTCATGCACATAAAATAAAAATAATAAAATATTTTTAAAGGGAAATTTCACCTGAAAGAATTGAGCTTTCTTGGTAAAGCATTGTATCAGTTGTAGTTATGCTAGGATATGCTTTTAGCTGAGTGCAGATGTTTGGACAGAGTCAGTACCTATTAGACTCTGCAGCTCTCACTGCTGGATGATTTCAGAGGTCATCAAAGGACATGGTCATAAGGGTTGATTTTAGATTCACCTGAGTCTGTCAGGGTGTAGCCCGTGCCTCTCTTCCTGAGCTTTATGCCTCTATACTTCCTTTGACTAAATGCTCCTTCACTACCTAGGAAACATTGTGCCCCTAACCTGATAAGATTTTAAATTGTCTCCATTATATCCCTTGAGTTTCTCTATATAAACCAGTTGTTTCATTGATTTTTTTAAACTTATAAAAGAATCATTTCTACCAATGATCAACTAGAGCCTTCATTCCACATTGGATGGGTTGGTTTTCCTGGTTATTTCTTCCTGTTAATTCCTGAGGATTCATAAATGCTTAACCATGTTTTAAAAACAGATGATGGGATTTCCACCTTCTGAAGTTAAGATGGACAAGAAGATGGTCCTTTCCATCTTGCAGAAAATCTCATCCTTTCTTGTAAGCATCTAGGGGATTCATGACAAGAGCTGCAAAATACAAAAGTTCTCTTCCCAATTTCCCTGATTTTTTTTCCTTCTTTATCACCCCAGGAGGGCTTTATACAGACATAAGAGGTAAATGATCAATGAAGCTTTCTCCATTGGCTGGAGATGGTGATAGTCACTTTCTTCATCCATTTTAGAACATCCCTAAGGCTGTAATTCCAGTTGCCATTGAGAAGTATTTAAGAGGCACAGATGACCCAGCTAAGAGCAGAGAACTGCTCCTGCAGTTGATTGCAGATGTAACATTTGGTGTCCCATCTGATCATTTCCCGTGTCCACAGAGGTGAGTCGCAGAGGTTAGATGGGAGAGAGGCACAGACTCTAAACTGCCCACCTCCTAGGATAGATTGATGTATGAACTTCTTATGGTCAGGCCTCAGTGTCTGGTTTAGGGGAGGTCCCTGCTCTTATTCTCATATGAGTCACATGACTTAGTCTCAGCACTTTAGGAGTTGATCCCTGGAAACACCACAGGAGATCTGAGTGACACAGGAAGGAGATGGAGCCTGATCAGTGATACACTGCCAGGCACATACCCACTGTGGACAGCTGGTGCTGGGCATCTCTTAGGACTATCAGATAACAGGTCTCAGGATTATTCCATTTGAGCAGCAAGGGTGGGTATTTATTCATCGATACTCAATTGTCATTGGTTGAAGGTTTTTGCCTTTGATCTGCTGTTCAACTGAGTTATATGTTGAATTAATAAAAGAGCTGCCAATGCTAGAGGTAGAAATCAGGCTTCTCTGAATACAAATGAGCCTCCACAGCATTTGCTACCAGGGATCCTTACTTGAAATAATGGTGATCAATGGGATAGGGTATATTTTCAAGTTCTTAAA